CCCCCCACCCTGTGTCCCCATAGCTGCTCACAGGGAGAATGGCTAGGCAGGCCTGGTCTGAGGATAGGCCCTCCAGGGCCTGACCATGGGCCTTGGGCCTGGCGGTCACCTGGAGGCCTGCTCCCCACTCCCACGGACCCAGGCGGCCCCGGAGACCCCACCACAGTCCCTGCGAGGTGCAGGTGGGCGCTGCTGGCTCTAGCCCCCGGGCCTGAGGCTCTACCCATGGGACCACAGATGCGCACTGCTGGACGCAGGGGCAAGCTGCAGAGTCGGCCGCCCGGGCACACCCCACACCAAGAGCACCAGGGTCCCCAGCTGGGTAGCAACCTTTATTGGTTCCAATTCCCAGGCCATCCCAAGGGCACCCAAACTTGGGAGCTGCGACTCGAGTCCAGGGTGGACACATGTCCTCTAGAAGGACCAGGCAGGGAGAAACTCGGCCCATGGCTGGGGGGACCTGGCCGCACCTGCCCAGCCCTGCTCTCCAGCCTTCAGGCAGCTGGCCCCTCAGCAAAAGTGGGTGGGGGGGACAAACTGCTGGGCACCAGTCTCGCCCCCTACGAGCCCCGAGAAGAGGCAGATTCCCAGGAGGACGGGGCTATGACCACTGCTGGTCCTCGGACCACACTGAGGGTCAAGGACTTCAGGGTACGCTTCTCAGGGCACACAAGGGACCCTTGCCGGGGCAGCCCTGCCACCCAGGGGAGCCTGTACCCCAGCATAAGTGACCCCAAGACAGCCTCAGGGTGCCACGCCCACGACCCTCTCCAGGCGCAGAGGCCACGCCCACCATCAGCCAGACCGACTGTGGACTGTGTGCCCGGTCAGGGAGGTCCCCAACCACAGCACAGCTCTGCGGGAAACCCAAGCCGACCCACAACCTTGGGGATTTCCCCAAAGTACCCCATTTTCCGCAAAAGGGACTAGTAGGAGCCAGCGCTTGGCATCTGGGGAGGCTGTCACCTCCCCCTCCCAGAATCCTGGTGTCACCCACCTTTGGAGAACACAAAGACCCAGAGGGGCTGAGGAACCTGCCCAAGGTCACAGCAAGGAGGCCCAGTCCCCGGGGTCAGCCTCAGAGCGGGAAGGGCCGGGGTCGGGGCCGGCAGAGGCAGCTCCTGTGGCTGCCCAGCCTCCGGGACCTGCTCATGCCATCTAGAGGGTCTTTCAATAGGGGTGTGACGGAGCCAGCAGGCACCAGCCCGAGGGGGTTAGGGTCAAATGCTCACGAGTCCAGCTGCTGTGTGGCCAGGACAAGGCCATCACTCGCAGGAACACCACCTCAGGACCCTCATGTAACCATGTCCACCGTAGGCCATGGACACAGCCCGGGCCTGATCTTCAGGGTGGACCGTTTCTTCCTCCTCCGCTCTCCCTGCTCCTCCCTAATGCCTCCTCCCTAGGGGCACCTTTCTTCCCGTCCCTGAGCACCACCACCACCCCCCCGCCCAGGAACAAGTCCCCCAGAAGGTCTCAGAAATGACCTTCTCCCACATCAACAAGTGCATGTCAACCCCAACGGGGTCCTGGAATGTAGACCTGGGGTCACCTGTGTGAAAGCCCCTGTTCCTGCTGGCGGCGGAATTCAGCCTTGGGGACAGAAGCAAAGCAATGAGCCTTCTTTTTCCTTCTCTCAAAATCTCGCCCTCGTGACTGGATTGGCATCAGGGACAAGGCGGGAGCTGACAGCAACAGAGAGCACAGGAGACGAGAGGCGCCCACGCCTGGAGGCCTGGGCTTGCTCCCAGCCACCTCCCAGGGAGCCCGGCTATTCTCTGCCCCAGGTCCCTGTGCCAGCCCCACCATCAGTTGGACCAGATGTGGAGGTAGCTGGGGTGTCCCCTTCCAGCCCATCAGTGATGGGGGGCCTGGAGGGGCCTGGAGAGTGTGTTCATTTACACCGTGCCAAGGGGCACCTGCAGCAGCTGGGGCAGCCGCAGGCCGGGCACCAGCATCCCGTGAGGGAGGTTCAGCATCCGCCCACACGATGTGCCAAGGCGCCACCTATGTATTTATTGGCAGTGCCTGGCTGAGCTCAGGGCCTCTGGCTGGGCACGTGCTCCATTTTAAACTCTAAATCAGATCCTCTTGGAGGCCTGGATGAAATCCCTGGTCCTCACCTAATACTGGGTGCTCTGGCCCCCTATCCTATTCCTCAGGGGTGTTCTCAGGGCTCACCTGCCTCCTGATGACCCCACAGTGCTCCTGCCCCAGGGCCTTTGCACTCCCTGTGCCAGCTGCCTGGCTCTGCCTATCACTCAGGTCTCAGCCCAACACCACCTCCTCAGGGCTGCCCTGCCCCCATCCCTCCTGGCTCCGCCTCTTCTGCAGCTCTCACCTCAAAGCACTGCCCTAGCTGCTGCCCTGTGCTGTCACCTCCTGGGGGGCGTCAGCTCCAGGACCTTCATCCTGCTTGTGGGGAATCCCCTATCAAGGACTCCGGAATCACCTGGACAAGCCGCCAGCCCCAGGGCCAGACTGCTGCCTGTGAGCCCACGGGCCCCTGCATGCTGGCCTGGCAAGTGCCAGCTCTGGGCAGCCAGCTGGCAATGCCCACCTCTGGGCCCTGGAGCTTGACAGGGGCCCTGCCTGGCAGCACCCTTGGGCTCCAGCCTCTTCCCTCTCGGCCGTGGTCCACCAAGGACGGCTGGTGGGGCCTTGGGCTGAGCCTGGCCCACAGGAAGGCCACGTCCTCTCAGCCTCTCACTCGGCCACCCGAGCCGCTTGCTCTGTCCCCAGGCGTGGCTCTCCTGCCCAGAAAGCCTCCCTCAGCCCAGCTGGGAGCCAGTGTCATCTGCCCCCCTCGGCCCTACGGCTGCAGGGTCCGTCCAGTTAGCCTGTGGGCCCCCAGCCTGCAGCCTGGAGGCCCACCCCGGCCCCAGCCTGGTCCCCGGAGCTGTCCACAGCGGCAGGCACACTGGCCCCGGCCCGGGAGCTGAGGCCTGGCCCGCCACACGGGTCCCTGCCACCAGCCTTCCAGGGATCCAGGGCACTGAGGGTGGCCAGGCTCTGGAAACCAACATCACCACAGTGGCCGCCTGCCCCAGAACAGCCTGCCAGGTCACACTGTCCCTGTGTGCTGCCCAGGACTACGCGAGGGAACAGCCTCAGGAATAGGGTCACCTGTCCCTGGGCAGGGAACGTGGAGAGGTGGAGGCTGGGTGGGGGGACCGTGGGGCAGGGCTCCTGCAGAGTGACAACACAGGACCAGGACCACAGACACAAGGAACAGAGGCTGGGGCTGAGGGTCGGGCTGGTCAGTGCAGCCCTGCTCTGCGGTCAGTAGTGGGGGGTGGACAGGAGACAGACATGAACAGGGCGCTGGAGATCAGGGTGTGCGGCCAGACGGCAGCTGGGCAGTGGGCCTCCGCCCCAGCTTCCTCCCTCAGCCAGCAGCCCGGAAGGGCAGGCGGGGACGCAGAAGCCAGGACAGACCTTTCCTGTCCCTATGTCCCGTCTCTGTGGGAGAGAAGGTCACCGGGAGCTCTGCCACCCCCTGGCCTCCCAGCTGGCCCCTCCTCCAGGGCCACAAGAGAGGGACGGGAACACTCACCCTCAGGGACATGCCACCCTGACCACGTGGCCCCATGGCCGTGGGAAGGCCTCGGTGACTGCCCGGGCCTTCCTGTTGTGAGCAGCAGCCAGGCCTGCTTGGCTCCCTGACCACAGGCTCACTGGGCAGCCCGGGGCCTCCTGCGCTCTGGCTTTGCAGTAGGTGGAGTGGCCAGGCCTGGCCTGTGAATCACCAGCTATAAACCTCCGCCATCACCAGCCCGAGAGCTGGCCCACATGGCCTGTGACTCACCACAGACAGCTGGGCCCTCAAGCCCAGGGGTGGCTGCTGGCCCGGGTCCGGCCTGTGAGTTCGCTGGCCACTGTCAGGGGCCAGGCTCCGGGGGTGGGCTGGGGATCTCCTGGGGCTGGGAGGAGGGGCTGCCTGGGCATGCAGCTCCCTGGACTGGACAGAGGCTTCTGCATAGTACACTCGCCACTGCCCACGACCAACCGTAACCCTCGCCCACAGGGCAGTGGACACCACGGCGGGCCTGCTCCACGGGCCAGAGTGCAGGTGGCCATAGGCAGCAAGTTTCAGAAGGCTGAGCTCAGACACCACTGCTCACGTCTCGGGGCCCCACAACCTGTCCCTACTTGTGGTGTGCAAAGTGGCCCTGGAGTGATGACCAAGCAGCTCTGGGGCGGGGCACCCGGGGGCCGGGGGTGGGCCGACTGCCGAGCCCTGGCCTGGTGGGGACGCCCAGGACAGTAGCCTGTGTGATGTGGTGACGTCCTGCCGCCCGGACATGGCCGAGAGCAGGCCCTGACTGTGCTTGACACACAGGCGCCGTGAGTGACAGACTGGCCAGGCCCCCAGAGGAGGGTGGGCTGCCCATCGGCAGCCTTCGGCCACACCAACGTCCTTCCTGCCCGGGGCTGCCTCCCTGGCTGGCCACTGGCCGTCAGTGCCCCAGGGGACATGCAGGAAGGCTGCTCCAGAGCCCCTTGGTGGCCAGGCTGGGTGAGGCAGCCAGGGCTCTCCACCGCCCACCTGTGCTCTCCTCAGGGCAGCTCTCAGGCCTGGCCTGCAGGGTCGAGGGCAGCTGGCAGTCCACATCACCCCAACCCTGCAGGTGACTCCAAGGACAGAGAAGGTCCGCAGGCCAGGAAAGGGCACAGCCCAGATGGCCGCCGGGGTCACTCCTGCCCCTCAGAGCCAACCACAGCCTCCCACTTCAACCACCGAGCCAGGAGTGGCCAAGACAGGGACCTCAGCCTCTGGGCCTGGGTGATGAGCCAGCCATCTAGGGACGTGTGTCTTCCACCATATGACACAGGGACCACAGCCTGGAAAGGACATCACGCCTACTGTCGGCACCTGGGAAGTCCCACCTGCCCACCTGGTATCCGCCTCCTCAGCTCCTGTCCGCACAGTCTGGTGTGTGAGCACGGCCGTCCTAAAGCACCACGCTGCTTCTCCTCTAAAGGGGGCGTCTGGCAGCCCTGGCATGCAGGGTGCCCCGGGTGATCACACACAGCCTGTGCATGGGACAGACGTCTCTCAGGGTACGCAGGTCCCCGGGGAGGTAAAGCAGAGGCCCATCCAGTGGCACCTGTCGTGCTGATGAGCAGAGTGAACACTGCTGACCAGCTTAGCACTGGTGTGGCCTGGGCCATGACCTCATGTGGCCACTCAGGAGAGGGGACAGGCATGTGGACGGGGCTCTGGAGTCCGAGAAAGAGACACAAGGAGAGACAGAGGGGCAGCCACAGGGGTCACAGAGGAACATGGGAGCGGAAGGGAAGGAGGCGGGCAGGTAGACAGGTAGACAGGCAGGCAGACGCTGCCAGTCACAGGGCCCGAGCTTATCCTCAGGCACAAAGATGCAGGTGTGGGCTGTGGCCGTGCCACCGGCCCACTCTACCCGTGTCTCACCACAGGACACAGCCCGGCCCTGCTCCTCCAGCAGCACCAGCCACCAGCCTGTGCTGAATGCCACCTCCCAGGGCGCAGGGCGAGGGCTGGGGTCTGACCCAGGGGCAGAGGCCCCCGGGAAGCCCCTCCACGCCTGGCCCCATGTGTATGTGTGAGAGGGTCCTCGCAGTACCTCCCCCCACACACCCAGGCAGGACCACATGACCAGGACCACCATGCCTTCTGCTGCCCCGGTCCCCATGTCACCTCTGCAGCCAACAGCGCCCCTTCCCCTCCTGCTGCAGGCCGGCCCCTGGGATCCACCTGAGGCTGCCAGGTCTCCCTGGACTCCAGCGCCCATGGGGGTGCCCACAGTTCTGGCCAAGACCACCCGGGCCTCCTGCACGGGGAGAGGACATGGACAGAGAGAAGCTGACCTGTGGCGCATCCACCCACCTGCCGAGCTCCGTGCCAGGGAGAAGGGCCCCGCCCTGGCCCGAGGCCTCCACGGCTCACCTGCAGGTCAGGGCAGGGGGCTATATCCTGGCTGGAGGGTGCCAGACACGCTGCTGGCCCAGAAGCCCACAAAGGGAGGAGAGCACCAGGCAGCAGGAGGCAGGTAGGCAGCCTGTGCCCCACCAACCAGTGCTCAGGCCGCCAGGATGGCCAATGGTCGGTCAGAAAGATGGTTCGCAGCCCAGCTTGCCTGGACTGCCCGTGCCCACTCACAGGCCTTGCCACCAGGGACGGACAGCCTCACCACACATTGAGAAGCCACAGGTGCCATCACTCACAGCATCAGCCACCTGGAAACCACCACTTCCCACACCTCCCCCTCATCTGTGCCCTCACAGCCACCACGCCAGGCCACATTTGTCCTTCGGGTGTCCGGGAGGGTGACCGGCACGGGGCAACAGCCAGGTCAGCGGATCTGCCTAGCACAACGGTCCTGGGGTTCAGGTGTAGATGGGGAGGGGCCAGCATCTCTACCACAGCCAGGCTGATCAAGAGGGGACATCCCTGAGACCCTCCCGCACACAGTGACACAAGTGGGGGTGCTGCCCTGTGTGAGAGTCCAGGCAGAGACAATGACCCTCTCCTACCGTGCAGGAGCCCCAGGACCCCCAGGCCAGCCTGGCCTCTGTCTCAGGTCACATGATCCTTGGGCCTGTCCTGGGGGCTGGCACGCAGTCTCGGGGCTTCCTGTGACCTAAGATTTAAAACCAGCTTCACCTAAACCCAGATTTCTAGGCCACCATCAAAGACTCAGAGACGGCAGCTCAGAGGGCACAGAATGGGCTGAGCTGGGTCAGGGTGCAGGTCTCTGGGGAGCCCCCACCTGGCCAAGCCCCGCTACCTCCCCGACACATGGCGAGCGGGAGCAAAGGTAGTCCCGTGTCTCCTCATTCACCTGAACCCCAAGAGGTCCTGGCCCTCTTCTGCAGCCCCCTGCTCTCCCTCAGGTCCCCATGCCACCTGGGCCACCCTCTGCTCCTTCTGGCCGGGTGGGGGCTGCTCATCAAGTTCACCCTGGGGTCCCCCATCGTGTCTGCTCTGCACGGCCAGCTCAGAGGCCCCTGGGCCCAGCACACGGCCAAGTCCACAGCGTGGGTAGTCAATGTGAAGGACACGTTTCCACAGAGGAGGGGCGTCCAGCATGGGAGCCACCACACTACTAGGGCCACCACGTCCTGGTTTTCCCCTGCTGGGCAGGGCAAGCAGGCTGGCCAGCACAGCTCTGCAAAACCAGTCGGGGAAACCCCAGCCACAGACCACATGATGCCGTCCTTTAAGGACCCCGAGGACAAGGACAAGGGCTCAGTCCTGAGCATTTCGGAGGGATGTTCAGAATGCAGCCAGGGTGGCTAACTCCCTCAAGACTCACTTCCTGCCCGAAGCTCTGCTCAGAACGAGAGCGAGTGCCTACTTCACATGGACCAGAGACCCCGGCTTGTGAAGGCCAGCTCGATGCCCACGCGGTCCTGGGAAGGGAGGTTGGTGAGAGACGCCCGTCCCTGCCTCCATCCAAACACAGAATCCCCTCCAAACGTGTCGCCGACCCCGAAACCTTGATCGTGTTCACTGAATGTTTTCCAAACCAGTGCTCTTGTTTTCCACCCAGGCCACTGGGCTCCTGCCACACAGCTGCCATGGCGCCAATGGCCTCAGCCACGTTCCAATAAAACTTTATTCACACAAACGGGTAACAGGCAGCCTGGGCCCAGCCTCTGGCCAGCCCTGTCCCAGCATGACCCTCCAGCTCCTCCTAGGCAGGCAGCCCTGTCCCAGCATGACCCTCCAGCTCCTCCTAGGCAGGGACCCTGGGGAACAGCAGCCCAAGACCGGCTGTTTTTTCCCTCAAATACACACTAAAACAAACACAGCAAGCTGTTCACGTCTAGAGCGCCTGGGGGCCACCCCTAGATGTCCAGGGATGCTCACTTGGGAATGGGGCCTTTCACCTCAGGGACCTTTCACAAACCAGGAGCCGGGGAACTGGCCAGGCTGAGAATGTAAGTGGCCATTTCTCTTGGGCACTCATCTCTGCTGCTGGGGACACTCCCAGCAGGACAGGCATCCCAGAGGGGTTCTCCCCAGACCCACCATCACCGAGAGAAGCTAGGCTGCAAGGCTGCTGGGCACAAGCTCCGGCAGGGGTGGCCGCCCAGCAGGTGGCCAGGTCCCCAGGGACGCCGCCCACACCTCCTCTCACCTGGCTCTTGCCTCGGCGCCGGTAGCTCCGCCGCACCAGGCTCTTGTAGTTCTCGTTCTTCTTGGTCAGGTAGTAGTAGAGGACACACTCGGCCACCGTCTGCAAGACCGAGGGCACAGGTGGGCGCTCAGAGCAGGGGCCAGAACCAGGCGCCAGGTGAGAGCGTGGCTCTGGCACAGATTGGTGGGTGGCCGCAGGCAGGTTGCCTGGCCCCTTGGGGTCTGCATACTTCAAGGGGCCGTCAGGAAGACCAGCCAAGCTGTCGCAGAAGCAGTGCACAGGGCCGCGCCTGGCCAGGAACAGGGGCCAGCGGGCTGCAGGTTCCTTGTGCTGACCACAGAGCTATTAGAGGCGCCCCCTCCGCTGGTGCAGAACAGCCTCCAGCACCTGCCCAGACGAGGCCAGGGCTCCTTTCTCTCCCGCAGCTGCCCCTTCCTGGAGCACCAAGCCACGCACATGGGGTCCATGTCACCCTGTCTGCTTCCCTCCCACGCGAGCCTGTGTCTGAACCCCAACAGGAGCCACGGACACCCTCAGAGGGCATGGCCAAGCCCCCCCGGCCAGAAGTCCTTCCCAAGGTTCAGGCCAGCGCCAGGCCAGAGTCACCCGGGAAGCCAGTCCACAGTCCTGTCAGGATGAAGCAGGCCAGACCCCAGCCACCCTAAACAAGAGCCCCCCCATAGGCCAGACGTGCCACACAGAGGCTAGCCCCCGCAGCCCCTGCCCACGCTGCCCACCAACGTGACCTTAGGCAGGAGTGTCACATCAGCGTTTGCATGTCAGGCCAGGTGCTGCCTGAGCTCCCAGATGACAAGAGCTCCGCGCAGCTGGTGGTCCCCGTGGCCTGCCCCGTGTCAGGCCAGGCTGTCCACCCGCCTCCCAATGGGCACCTCCTGTCCTGACCCCTCTGGAAGCTGTCATTGTCATGGGGGCCGCCATGAGGCCAACTCTTCCCCCAGAGCCCTCCCTCCCAGGAGGGACTGTTGTGGCCGGCTCTGGACACCCTGCCCCGCCTCTGCACCCGGACGGGCGCTCCCCGGGAGGGCGGCTATTTATAGGGCACTCTCCACACACTGGTTTTTCCGGCAGGCAGAGCTGCCTCCCAGCGCCCATCTCCTCCTTGTATGGTCGTGTGCCATCGGGGCCGACACTGGGAACAACTGCTGTCCTCCAAAATAACCGCCTGGATCCTACACCCAGGGCCGTGCTCCGGCCACCACCCACGAGCCCGGGGCCTGGGAGCAGCCTGGTGTGGAGCTGGGAGCACCGGGTGCCCACCCCCAAGGAACAGGATTCATGGCACTCCAGGCTCAAACTAGGGGACAAAGTGGGGCTCCAGCAGGCTTGTCCATGTGGACTGGGACACGTCAGCCACACACCTGGCCTGGCGTCTGGGCATCAGAGAGCTCACAGTGACCACGACAGGGGCCTAGAGAGCCACTCCACCAGGGCTCTGGGAGGCCCACGGCCCCATCCACAGGTCTTAGTGGGGACGCCAGGCAAAGCAAGGCTTCCAAGTCACATCCCCAATTTGCAAGGATAACTGACAGCACTCTTGAGGAGCGGGTGGGGAGACTGGGCACGCAGGGCTGAGGGGACACCCCTACAGGGCTCTCCTGCATTCCCACATGTGCGGCAGCCGGATGCCCCTCCCCATCCCAGGCCAGGGCGGGGCCTGGAGTGCTGCTCCCTGAGAGAGGGGGTGGCGGCCTCTTGGCAGGGAGGGTCCTCTGCCTTGGGCCTGGAGTGGCCCCCGGTTGTGTGGAGGGAGCCAACTCACCTTCCTCTCCAGGAACGAGGCGATCAGGCCAAAATTCTTGGGATGCTGCATGAACCTGTGGGGAGAAAGGAACGGGCGTGAGGCTGGGCCCAGGGGCACGTCCTCGCGGGGCGGCCTGTGAGCGCCCAGGCGCCGGCCATCTCCACGGCTGTCGGTGGGCACCGCCCCACTCAGAGCAATTAAGTTGGGGGTGTGGGAAGGGCTGGCGGTGGGGAGGGACCCAGAGTGAGTCACAGCTGCAGTGCCTTTGAGATGTGTGTCTGTCCTGGGGAGATGGCTTCCAGGAAAGACGGGACGTGCACCGGCTCTGCCAGGTCCCCTTGAAAACCTGCCCTGGGCCCCCCCAGCTGGGCCTGGGAAGCTGGTTGCTTGGGAAGAGGTCACGGCCGCCAGGCAGCGGGCTCCCGAGGGAGGTGCAGTGGAGGCCCCGAGCCTGGGGGAGGCGGGACGGGGCTGGCGGCCAAGGAGGCGGCCTCAATGCACTGAAGGCGGCCCGGGAGCTGGCTCTGGGCCCCGGCTTCCTGTGAAGCCGGGAATTACTGGGAAGCGGCTGGGCAGGGAACAGGGACAGCGGGGAACAGGGACGGCGGGGGTGGGGACGTGGGTCACAGCCCGCTGGGCCCCAGGGACGTTGGGTGGAGACACCAGCCCCAGTGCCAGCATCCCACAACCTGCCATCACCCCACGGCCTTCCAGGGGGGACATGGCGGTCAGCAAGGCAGGCCAGGCAAGTGCCGGCACTCATCGTGCCTGGCCGCCAGGTGGCTGGGCAGGAAGCCAGCGGGCCTCCCCCGTTCCCAGCCAGACACTAGAGACTGGAAGCGCCTCGTCCTCCTAGAGGAAGTGGCAAGTGGCAGGCCTCCCTGGCCTGGGCTCTGGCCGCCTCGGGCTGCTGGCAGAGCTGGGGCTGTCTCAGAGCCGTCTCTTCCGGGTATGGAGTCCTTTGTAGCCCACCCCCTGTGTGGGGACCATCCTGCCCCACTCCCTTCCAGGAATCACTCATGGGAAAACCTCCTAGGGCGCCTGTCCCCGCCCCCTCCCCTCGACCCCCCAGTGTGCTGAAGAGACCCCGGGGGCAGCCGAGCCTGAGCCCACAGGTGCTGCCGTCTGCAGGCAACCGGCACAGGGCCAGGGGGTCCCCGAATCCCCGCATCTGCCCTGGACCATGCTCATCCTCACCCTCACTCTCTGAGCAACAGGCACCCAGGACGACGCACTCAGAGCTACTGGGGGCTGGAGCCGCAGAGCTGGTATCTGAGGGGTGGTGGAACCCATCCCAGGGTGCCAGGGCGACCACGTTGCCTCCCCATTTATAGATGAGGAAGCGGGGGCTCTGCGGGGGGCAGCCTGCTCCAGGCCACACAGCGGGGACAGCAGACCCTGTGCCCTCTTCCAGATCCTCAAAGGCCCCAAGCGCTGCCACAAGCTCTGCAAGGGAGGCCTCCAAGTGACCCGCACTCTGCGGAGGACCCCGTGGCCGCTGCTCCTGACGGAGGAGCCAGGCCGCAGACCCCAGCCCCACACGGCCAGCTTCTGAACTAACAGGTGGGTGATGTCTCAAGGAGAGTAAAGCCACCGCGAGAACCCACAACCAGCGCCAGGGACACCCAGCCTCTGGCTGTGCCCGGCCACCTCCCGGTCTAAGGTACTAAGAGACGTTCAACACGGGGTCTGACCTGATAGGAGGACGCTCCAGCCACCTGAGACCTAGAGTGGCCCTGACAGTGAGGCCCCTGCACACTGCTGCCCCGCCCTCTGCCTGGGTGGGTTCCAGAAGCTCCATAATCAAAGGCCGTCCTCTTTTTGGTGCCAGGGACTCAACCCTGAGTGCTCTACTACTGAGCCCCGTTCTGGCCCTTTACACGGTGGAGACAAGGTCTTGCTAAGTTGCTGAGGCCGGCCTCCAGTTTGCAACCCTCCTGCCTCAGCCTCCCACACCGTGCTGAGCCACCGCGCCTGGCAATCGGGTACATTTCTAAACGAAGCTCTCCACCCAAGACCCTCCGGACTGCACTACATACGCTGTTTCTGCGTCCTGGTGTCTGCACCAGCTGACCCGTCTCCACCACACCACAGCCCAGGCTGGCCCGCAGGTGGACTCACTTCTCCCGGAAGGTCTCCTTCTCCTGCTCGCTCCACATGTTCATGACCTGGCGGTCCCGGTACACCTTCATGGGGTCGTCCATGAGCCCGTTCATGTTGATGAACCGGATGCGCTGCTGGTCAGCGTCGTACAGCATGGGCGGGATCACAGCCAGCTGCCGCATCTGCTTCTCCAGGTTCTGGGGCAACAGGACAGAGGGTTGGGTCAGAGGGCACAGAGGGCAGGGTGGGGGACAGCGAGATGTGGGGGTGTGAGATCCCGGAGAGCAAGGGAAAGGTGAGCAGCAGGCGGCAGCGGCCAGCCCTGGGGAGGCGGGCACCCCCGACACCGCAGGAGAGCACTGTCCTCGGGGTCCTCTGTGGGGAAAGGGGCGCCTTCCATGGGGCTAGGCAGGTAGCCAGGCAGTGGGGCTAGGATCCAGCTGCCCAGGGCACGTGGACATTGGCACAGAAGGGATGGGGATGACTAAGGGGCTCTGAGCTGCACGAGGGACCTCTCTTCCCCGCAGCCCCGTAGCCAGCCTGCCCTGGACATGAGCTACCCAGATGGCCCCACCTCCCACATCCGACCTCCCCATCGAAGCTCAAGGCTTGTAGCCAAGAAGCAAAGCAGGGGACGCAGCTCCCATCTGGCCAGGAGAAGAGCCCACAGAGGCCCAGCGGTCAGCACATGGCCTGCAACCAGCCTCACTGCCCGAGACGAGGGCAGCACAGGAGTGGACGGGAGACCCTCCCCGAAGGGCCCCTCCTGCTCCTGGGCTGCCTTCCCGAGAGTTCCTAGCAGGGACTGTGCTCTGGCCACCTAGAGCTGAGGGGGACGGTCAGGGTCACAGACCCTCCTTCACCAGGGGACAGCGGGGAGCCCTCCTGTCCCACCTTCCCCTTCCCACATTCCTGCCTGTGCAGGCCTAGCAGCCGCAGCCTCATGCCCCTGGGGCTCTGGGCTGGGCGTGGGGTCGGCAGGACAGCGGGCAGGAAGGAAGGAGCCAGCCGCGGCCCCCGGCAGGCCAGGGCAAGGCCTCGGGCCGCGTGCAGTGGCTTTCTGGTTCTGCTTTCTGCAGGCCGCGTGTGCCTGGAGCTGACGGGCCAGGCGGGCTGCCACCTCGTGCCACCTCGTCAGGCACAGGGCAGGTTGGTGGGGGGGGGGGCAAGTCCTGGGCTCTGCCCGACTCCCCGAATCCGCATCGGGGCCAGGGCCCGCTCCTGGGCCACCTGGGTCCCATGGGCCTGAGACCAGCACCAGGGCGCAGCACTGCCCAGGACGTCCTGCAGGAAGAGGTGTGGTCTCGGTACTGCCCGGCAGCAGGCCACACCCTCCAGGGCTGCAGGCCACCTCGCTGGGCCTGGTGTGGCGGAGAAATCGAGTCTTCAACTGTACTTCACTTAAATTAACGTCACTTAAAGAGCCATGGTGACCAAACAGGAACACCAAGGGCCGTCCACCGGAAAAGACCATAGCAGGGGCCAGTGCCCCTCTGCACCTGGCCTCATCCCACCACAGTGTGGGCACAGGGACATGAGTGCTGGGCTAGACCCCAGAGCCCCAGACCCAGGAGGGGACACCAGGAACTACAGGATACACACCCCCACCTCCTGGCTGGCCATCCGGGGCCCAGTGACTATGGTCAGGGCCACCGCGGCTGGCCTCCAGGCGTCCAGTCTGAGGGGAAACCTGAAGCCGGAGACTGGGGCTGGGAGGGGCCGGCTGCACTCTCCGACTGTCCTATCTGACCTGGCCCCTCCAGGCCGTCAGGATCAGGGCCTACTGCTCAGGGGCTTCCGCCCACTGGCTGTTGGGACTCAGCCCAGGGGGTGCCTTGAAGGGCCAGGGGGCAGAGCCAGGGGCAGGCCCCACCCAGCTGCCTGCCTCTGGGCATCACAGCATTTGGTCAGTGCCCAGCCCCAGCCTCCCTCCCACCCCACAGGCCTGGAGCAGGTCCTGGCTGCCCAGCACTGCTAGTCCAGGGCCTCCAGGTCCCACATCATTCTGCCCCTAACCATCCAGGGTGAGCCCGCTTCTGACGGGGACCCTCCCCTGCAGCAGGGGACCCAGGGGAAGGGACACTGAGGCTGAGCCAGGTCTGGGACTCACCTCCTGCTCTGAGAGGCCATCGATGATCTCAGACACCTCGTGCTCACTGCGGGCCGCCGACATGGAGAGCCCGCCGCCCCGCTGGCCCACCCTGCTGGGGGCCAGAGGGACAAAGTCAGGACCACCCCCTTGCCAGCCGGGACACCAGGCTGCACCCCAGGGCAGGCCTGAGCCCACCACATCCCCACAGGGCGAGGTCACGTGGGGAGGAGGCAGCAGAGGGACAGACCTCCAGATGCACAGCTGGCCCAGGGGTGGCCTGGGGAAGGCCCAGGGCGGCGTGGTGGCAGGGTGGCCCGGGGGAGCGTCGGAGTGGCAGGGGGGAGACCCGGAGTGGCAGGGGGGAGGCCTGGGAGAAGCCCAGGGTGGCCCTGGGTGGCGGGGACGGGGGGCCGGCGCTCACCTCTGCATGCGCTCCTGCAGCTCGCGCTGCTTGCGGATCTCGGGGAACTGCTTCTCGTAGTACTCGCGCACCTTGCTCTCCTTGGCCCGCCGCCGGGGGTTGCTCTCGATGCGCTCCACCTTCTTCTCCCAGGCCTCCATGAGCTGGTCATAGCGCTGGCAGAACTTCTGCTCCTGGGGCAGAAGGCGGGCGCTGAGGGGCAGCCAGCCTCGGCCTCCCTCATGGAGCCCTCCAGGCGCCAGCCAGGCAGAGACCACCGCCCCTCCCCCAGCAATAGCCACCCAGCTCAGCCTCCTGGGGAGGTCTCACCCGCCCAAAGCCAGCAGCCCGGAGCCTCTGCTGCACCAAGTCACCAAACCAATCAGATTCCAAGTTCTGACCCTCGCCCGGGCCACTGCTCCAGGGCTCAGCGGACACAGGGCTGGGGCCACTCAACAGCACCTGCTCCAAGCTCTGCAGGACAGCGTGGCTCAGGGGTGTCTGTGTGGCCAGTGGGCCACACGTGGGCAGGACCCTGTCCCCAGGCCCCAGGCCCAGCCCAGCTCCCCAGTGTCAAGAGCTCCTGAGGAAGAGGCTCCGCCCTCCACCGGGGAAGTCCGTCTCTCCATCAGCCTGGCCTCTGCCCCTCCAAGGTGACGGTGGGCAGCAGCCAGCCACAGGGCAGACCCCGGCCACCACCTCTCACCCACAGGGCCGGACCTGATGCCCGTCCTCACGCCTAGTCGCTCTGCCTGTCCCTGCAGCTTCTGACCAAGGGCAGCTGTGGCCACACCCAGCCCTGACCAGCCCAACAGCAGTGGACCCAAGGGTGGTGGGTGACATCAGGGTGCAGAGCTGGGCCCCACAAGTGTGATCCACTCCGAGAACCCCCAGAAACCACGTTGGCTCAGGGACACCAGGGCCACAATGGTAGTGGCAGTGCCTCCCAGCTCCCCACTAGGGACAGGGACCAGCCCAGGCCACCTCAACCCTTGCCAAAGGCTGCAGCATGCCAGAGAGGGAGGAGGCGAGCAGAGCTCACCAGAAAACCAGGACAGGAGGACGGGGGGACGGCAGGGGACAACAGGGCCGCAGCCAGGCAGCAGCCAGGGCCTGGGCCTCCCCCAGGCCCCCTGCCAGGACAGACAGGGTTCCAACAGGAACTCTGGCACTGTGGACCTCAGTGCACACCACAGGAATGTCCCTGAGGAGATACTAGCCACACTCCACAACCCCAGACACCAGCACCAAGGCCCAAGCCACTTGCAAGGAGGAAGCTCCACCGCCTGCCCAGGACAGGGAAGTGCCCCTCTACATCTAACCACAGAGCTGCCCGTCGGAGCTTACACGCCACGGGTGTGCTGAGGCCTGAGGAAGCGGCTCGGGGGCACTGGGGCGGGGTTGCGAGCCAAGGTAGGAGGCAGAGCTCGCACATACACTCATACATGCACATACATAAGCTCACACACGCACGTGATCACATGTATGTGCACACATGCTCACACCCACGCACTCACACACGTTCACAAAGGCACACACATGTATGTGTTCACACATGCTCACGCATGGTCATGCATGCATGCTCACACACACATGTTCACACGTGTTCACACCCACGCTCACACGCTCTCACACACGCACATGCCACCCACACACACAAACATGTGCATAGGGCTAGGCCAGGCCAGGGTCTCCTGAAAGCGTGGGCACCTACGTCCCTGAAAGAAACGTCCCTGCTCCTGGGGAAAGGAAGGCCCAGGCCTGTGGGGTACACTCCCCTGGGGCCTGAGCCCTCCCCCTGGGGGAGGGGGGAGCAGGTGTGCCCGCAGAGGGCCAACCAGGCTGAAGTCAGGTGCTCTGGGATGGTGACACGAGAGCCACTCTAGAGGCTCAGGGCTTCCTGTTAAGATGGACTCGGCCTGGCTGCAAAGCACCCCGCGTCCTTGCCAGGTGCCCAGTCCCGCCAGCCTCCCTCCATCTGTAAATACCCAAGGAGCCACCACGGGGGGTCTGAGGACCCAAACCCACTAAGGCCACCTCCATGGGCTCCGCCCCATAGCCACAGGGCCACAGAGACTCTCTGGGTGGCACACCACACCCCTGCAGCAGCAGACCTCCACCCAACAGAGACGCTGGGGACATGGGGGTGGGCCCAGACAGAAAGTCAGGCCAGACTACAAGTGACCTTCAGCACGGTCCTGGCCTCTGAGGCCCTCTGACCCGCCTGCTCCGGCACACAGTCGGCACACATTGGGCACACATTGGGCACACGGGGCCTGCGGCCGCGCCCCAAGAGTGGGGCCCCTGCGCTCTTGTGCCAACTGTCTGGCATGACGGGGAAGCCCTGCAGCGAGCACTGAATTCCCTAAGAACACATGAGGCTGCCCCTGGTGCACAGAGTGAACCTAGTGCTCCTCTGCAGGCCAGGTCCCGGGGACCTCAGCTGATGCACAGGCCGCTGCCCCCCAGGCACAGCCCTGGCCGGCTGCACTCTGCCCTGCAGTGACCAGGCTGGTCCCCACGCAGGGCCTTTGCACACTGCTGTGACCCCAGGTCAGCACCTCTGTCTGGGGTCAGGCCTCACCATACCCCACTCACCCCTCCTGGGGTGTCCTCCCACCAGGCCGCGCCCACCAGCCTGTGTCTCTCCCTTGAAGCCCTGGACGCCTCGCCTGGCGCCAGCTCCAAACCCCAGGCCCCAGGCGGGATCAGGCTGGACTCGGTCCAGGCCCCAGCTGCTCAGGGTGGCCTGGCTGTGCCTCGGTCTCCCCTCTGGAACTCAGGCCGAGACAGCGCTCACCTCACAGAACGGAACATGGTGCGCACAGGGGCATGGGAGTGTGGCAACACAGAAGACGGTGCCATGGGGTCCTGAGCTGTCTCTGCATGTCACCAAGTCCCCATATCCTGGAAGACTTGCATACAGTGGTGCTCAATGATGGAGCCAAAGGCACCTGACCAGCACACCCCTGACTGCCTACCCCTCTCCACCCCATTTCAGTTCACGCAGCACACAGTTGTCACCTGCTGTATGCCACTTACACTGGGCGTGACTCAGTCAGCCCTGCAGGTAGGCAGAGGGCCTGGGTCCTACAGGCATCCAACAGAGCCCAGGGGGGCTGGGGTGTAGGCGAAAGCAGCCCCACCCACCAAGCCCAGACAGTGCCCCTTCCCCACCCGGAGGCCAGGCTGCCTGTCCCTGTGGGTGGGTGTCCTCAGGGCCACCCTAAGCCTCATTCTTCTGCCAGCCTCCTCCTCCTGGCAGCTTGTGGCTTGGGTAGAGGTGGTGACATCATCTCCCCACCAATACCAGTCCTCGTAACCCAGCTCCTCAGCATCGGTCAGTGCTCAGGGCACCCGGAGCTCAGGGGACCCAGTCCTCAGCTGGCCTGGTGTGAGGCCGAGCTCCTGTGAGAGTGAGGTGGGCTGAGAGAAGGGTGGCCAGCCTGTGGGTGTCCTGACCCACGGGCTGCAAGCCACTGCTGACGCCAGGCCTTCCGCACGTCCCGTGCACACCAGTCCTTTCCCTTCTCTGCCCACTGGTGGCCCCTCTCCCCCCTCCAGGGTCACTTAGCCTGGCCTCCAGACCCAGCAGGTCTTCTGATGGGGCCTGGCTACCCGCTGCCTGGGCAGGATGGAAGGGAGGTACAGGCTACCCGCTGCCCCCAGGGACTGCCCTCAGGGGCTGCCCCGTGGCCCTGGCTGCCCCTGGCTGTCCTCCCACGGCCCAGATTCTGGTCGTGAGGCGGCTGCAGGGCCAGAAGGGCCGGCAGGTGTGGCGCGTGGCCTGCACTCTGAGGCCCGCCCGCTCACCCATTGCTTGCGCGCGTGGTTCCTCCGCTTGAAGTACAGGATCAGCTTCTTGCGCATCGCCTGGTTTCTGCAGGGAGAGGGCAGGGCCAGTGAGCACGGAGGGGGGGGCCAGACCGGGTCCCACCCCAGCCCAGCTTGGGTCTGAGCAGTAGCCCAGGTGGGCCCCAGGCTGAGTCTCAGTGAGGGGAGAGAACCCTGCCTAGCGCACCCCAACACTCAGCCCATCCTGTCCCCCACCAGGTGCCTGCACCATAAAGCTGAGCGCAGTCAGCAGAAAAAGGGCCTGTGACCTTCTCCCCCTCCTGAGCTGCTGTCACACACACACACAGGTCCCCGTGGCCTGTCACCAAACCTGTCCACAGAAAATCTGCCAGAGAGACACCCACTGCCTCAGACCAGGAGCCAAGGCAGGGAGGCTGGGAGGCCCGGAGGCTGGGAGGCTGGGAGATCCGCCTGCATAGGCAGGTCCCAGGCTAAGCCCCGGTGCCCACGCCCCCAGGACTCTTGTCCTGTGCTCCAGGGTGGGCACAACATGGCACAGCAGGGCGGGCAGATGGGCAGGGACTTGGCCAGGAGGCCACACACCCTGCAGACAAGGAATCAGGTCTCCCCATGGACAATGCAGAGAGGGACAAGAGGAGCAGGGCAAGGGAGGGCCGGAGAGGCCAGCCCAGAGGGGACAGGGCCAGCAGGGACAGAGGGGACAGGAGAGGCCTCCGGCCAGGCAGGTGGCAGGACAGACCTGTGGAGATGGGACAGAGAGACAGGGAGACAGACAGGGGCAGACAGGAGGAGACGGCCAAGGCTCTGAAGAGGAGACCCAGGGTCGGAGGGTGGGGGCGGCTCGCGCAGGGGGATGGCGATGCAGGCAAGTCCCCAGGAGTCCCCAAGAGTCACGGGCAGGCCGGCAAGTTGGGCGGTGGCCGCTCCTGGAGGGTCCCCACTTCCCCTGTCTTCTTAACGCAAGTGGCCAGGCCCCATGCCCACAGCCACTTGTGGGTGCCTCGTGGTGGCTCAGGCCACTGACTGGCCAGCGGGGCTCAACACAGGTTCACCTCCCAGTCACCCTGAGCCCACCTTAAGCCAACCCCCAGCACGGCCAGTGCCAGTCCTGGGGTGTCCTTGGGCACAAGGATGGGGACCTGAGCCCCGCCCCATGACAGTGTCTCCAAGCACATCTCAGAGGCTCCCAGAGCCTCATTCCTCATCTGAGAAACAAGACCAACGGCCTCGCGAGCTCATCCCCATCCACCAACTCTTCACGGACTCTGTGCCTAGCACCGCCCTCCACGAGGGGCCTCGTGGGCAAGGGCGGATGCAGCCCCAGGCCCATGCAGAGGTGCCAGGAGAAGTGCCGGGCCCAGTGGGCAGGACGGTCAGGACACCCAGGGCTTCCAGAACCGAATGGTGGCAGCTGGAGAGCACCCAGAGTGGGCAAGGAAGGCCACCCAGGGATGGTGCTGACCCGAGGGACCTGGCTGTGGAGCGGGCACTACAGATGCAAAGGTCCTACGGTGGGCACACACGGCCCCTGCAGAAAGGAGGAGGGAGATCCACGAGGCCAGAGAGCGTCGAGGAGGGCGGAGGGGACGGAGGAGGAGCCACGGGCCAGGTCGGGACTAGACAGCCAGCCGGGAAGGTGCGGAAGCAACTGGCAGCCCAGGGCCTTGGGAGAGTCGGAGTTTGAAGGGACCCAACCATCAGGAGCCCCTGGGCTGCAGGAGGGGGCCTGTGGATGGACCCCGGCTCCTGACCTCTCCCTTCGCTACACCCCAGTGGGGCAGCCAGGCTGCAGGACAGTAAGACAGGGCAGAGAAGGGACCGGCAGCCCTACAGACCCAGGGGACCCAGGGACCAAGGGACCAAGGGACCAAGAATGGCGCCTGCCGGGGAAGGCTGGACGTGTGCGAGGTGAGCCCTGCCCAAGGCCAGGCAGAGGCCGAGGCCAGGCCCGCCCAGCACCACAGCTGCCTGTGCCCGGCCAGCCCTGCACCCCTCACGGGGTCTCCACTGGCTCCACAGGACACCAGTGCAGGTGGCCAGGACCATCCCAGCACGTCCTGCCCAGGGCCGGGCCCACCCTGATGGGATGACCACCAAGGCCCCTTCCCCCTGCGTCCCAGGTCTCAGAGGTCTGGCGCCCACCCTGGTAGCAGGTGCCCACGGCCTGTGGAGAGCCACCCGACACCTCCGGGCAGGTACAGGGGCGGGCAGCACTCAGGTGGCCTCGCCACGTCCGACTGCCATGCAGCAGGAAGCCAAGAGTGAGACTGACTAGACTACATGGCCAGCGCACAGACACGGGGACATTATAGGGACAGAAGCCAGGCCCTGGGGAGGGACAACCGCCCACCCCGAAGCAACCCTGGCCG